TGGTTTCTTTTGTTGGTTTTAAAACACCACAGGATAAAAATCGTTGATAACTAACGGGTTTTCAATCAATCTAGGTTTATGTGAATAGAGAACAAATTGCTGGTATTTTTCGAATTGTATCTACTGGCTTTAATCCTATTTTGTATGGACAATTCGGAGTAGGTCGAGCGAAATGATTACTGTACAGTTTTCATATTCGACTATGTATTTGCGCATTGTTCCCGCAAGAATGTGAGTGCGTGCTCCTATTTCACCATGCCTCCTGCTGATAGAGGACATATCTTTATTTTTAATTTAATTTATTATTATTAATTACTTAAGATGTCATAGGGAGCATGGTGTAATGGGTGCAACTCCTTACATTGTGTAAAACAAAAAACTTGGCGATTAATAAGAGTGGCGGAGAGTTTATTGCCAGTTCTTCTCTTCCGTTCTACGCCCTTGATTTGAGAACTGGCAGTAAATGTAAAATTAGAAGCATTTAATGTATATTTCTTTTTTGATGTTCATAAGTGTACATGGTGTAATACCTATTTGAAAAAATGATTTTTATTTGATAGTATATTTTTTTCTATGCTTTAGATTCGGGAATGAACGCCGTTAAGAACTTTAGATTTTGTTTTGTTCCACGAATCATCATTGGTCCAGTTGGGATGTCTTTTTTTCGACTATTTGAAAACATAAAAGTGCAGGCCTGCAGTGTTGGTCTTGCGGCTTCGTGTTGGCGTCCGACTCTTATCCCTGGGGTCGTAGGTTCCATGCACCAATGGACTTTTGGAAGCTAAATGCTTAAATAATTTATAAATTCTGCGAACGTAGATTTTGGTTTCCGGGTAAACCAAATCATTAAATAAGCACATAATATGTCAACTGCTGATAGTGGAGTTAAGAATTTAGAGATAAGTGTTTTGTGAAATAAAAATTTGAGGAAGGTTTTATTAGTTTGATATATAACTACTGATGAACAGTTGGGTGGTATTTATACAAAATCTTTGGGTATTCAGTTTAGTAAGTATAGAGATTTTTTCTGATTAAGTTAAGAACTTGTTAAAGTTAATTTGATGAAAGTAATGCATGTGCTCTGTTAAGTTTAAATATTTTATCGAGAGGTGGTAATATAGTACAATTAAAATAATTAATGAAAAAGGATTCCAACTGGCGGCCTTATCGCTTTCGAGCGATGTCTTCCAGGCAATCACTGTAAAAAAATTGATAAGGTAAGTGCAAGAAGTGCAGAATTATATGAGGCATATAGTTATTTAGACAAAAATATAGAATCAGTAAAAACCAATTAACAGGCATATTCGGTTCAAAGATACTTTATTTCTCCAAGAATTACATTCACTTAGTGAGAAATTAGTGTAGGTTAATTAACAATGTACATCGTGTTATGAAATTATTTAAAATAAGCTATATAACATTAAAATATTAGTTGCTAATAATATGTACAATATTTTTTACAAAAGTGCGGGTAGGTCGCATCGATGTTACAACACGCATACTAATTATTAGTTTTTTCTGATTCCCATTCATTCAGCCTCATTAGGATGTGTGTATGTACACAGTATTATCGAATTTAAGTTGTACCACAACAACAACAGTGGCGCTACAACCTTTTAGGTGTGGGCCTCAGATTTTGATGTACCTATCTGTTTCATATTTTTGTTTGTTTCTTCTAAGCAAGTAGGTGATCAGCCTTCTGTACTTGACACACGCCGTCGACTTTTAGGGTTTAAGACATTCCGGTTTCCTAACGATCGTTTCCTTCAATGTTCATGCGAGTGTTAAATGCGCACATAGACAGAAACTCCATTAATGCACAGCCGGGGATCAAACCACGACCTAAGGAATGAAGTTAGCGCGCTAAAACCACTAGGCCAACACTGCTCTCGCTTAAGTTGTAAGTAAACTCAAAATATCAGTAACCTTCACAGGTTTAAATACTTTGATAACGTATCTATGTGCGCATAAATTAATAGCACGCCTAGATCTTGTTTAGAAAATGTAAACATTATTAAGTTTATACATAACACAATAAATACAACACAACATATACTGATATTATTAAAGAACATGTGTATGTAAGGTTATATGGGAGTCAAAAGTCAAAAATCATTTATTCATATAGGTAACACAATGTACGCCAAATTTTTTATTTTACACGACGTTGGTAAGGAACTGCAACCATAGCACCATGTTCCACGTGAGTAATAAATAATAATAAAATAAATTAAAAACAAAGATTTGTTCTCTATCAGCAGGAGGCATGGTGAAACAGGAGCACACACTTAGATTCTCGTGGGAAAAATGCAAATACATAGTCGAAATAACTAACATCACCGCATACACGAATTCAAGTACGACCCGTCACCACAAGTAGCACCCGTTCACGAGTATGACGTATGGACAGCCATCGGCTGTAATCTCTGCCCTGCGATTCTGTAACTCACTTTTCGAACTCACACAGCGGTTTTCGCATCGGCGGTCGCTCTTAAATCAGTCGTGAAGCAGTCATTTTATGATTTGGCATTCTGAAAAGGTGGGAGCTTGTAGTTTATTGTTTATCTACTAAATCGATTTAAAAATTATTCTATCAAAAGAGAGCCATTTGTGAGTATATATGTATAAACCATACTTTTATATTGTAGTCAGATTTGGAAAATAAGTCGGAGAAACAACGATCAAACGCAAACATTTTTTACGAACTCTGTATTAACGATGAGAAATGTTGATATGATTGAGAAATGAATGAAAACAAAATCGGATGTTTTCAAATACATTACTTTTTTTTTATTTGGAATGGTTAGGGAATAATTTTGCACGAAATGCTTTAATTATCAGTATAAAAGTACTATCATTTATGTGGTAGAATACAATATTTATTTATTGCGCTATCGTACACAAACATGACAATTTATATAATATTAAATACGCCGCGCCAGCTGTTTACTCTCCATCCATCTTACGAATTTTTGATCAGGCCACGTGTCCTAACGCGAGTTTAAAATTTTTTACCCATTCCAAAAAAAGTGTACAACGCCGCTAAAGAAGTTTTCACTTCAAAATACAAACAAAATGTCCATAGGGATTGTAACTGTCAATCAATTCTGTCAATCCAGTATATTATATAAAAGTCTTATCATAAAATCATAAATTCAGTCCAGCTTATCTCTCACGACTCTCATTTAATTTTAGGTGGATTTAACTTTGCCGGGTTAGCTAGTATTATATAATCAGCGGCCGATATTCAAGATATTTTTGTTTTACAAAAAAGAGCAATACAAATATATACAAATTAAAACCGCGTGACTCGCTAAGAGAATTATTTAAAGAGATTAGTATTTTAACAGTTGCCTCCCAATATGTGTACGAAAATATTAAGTACGTTTATAAAAATATTAATAAATTTATAAAGCGCAGTGACTGTCACAATTTAAACATAAGAAGTAGGAATATACTTGATTTTCCAGCTTTCAGACTTCATAAAACTGCTCACTCATTTGCGTAACCAAACTTCCGATACATGAGTTTAAGCTTTGCATCAAGAAAACCCTAACAAAGGGAGGATATTACACTGTTCGGGAATTCATAGACGATGACAATGTGTGGGCACTAGTGCCGCTGTAAGATGGGGAGTTGACATGCATAAGTGTACAAATTGTACCTAAATGATTAAATTAATTTTTGTTTGTTTGTTTGTTAGTAACAAGTCCTTTGTCGCGTCTAGCTACCTATCTGTTAGCAGTAAATTTAAAAAAATACTGCAAGGAAACGTTGAGGTTTTCATTTATAATGGATATAATTTTTCAAGGTTAACGGGTCACTGTTACCTCTACGAAGCCGGTGCGGGTAGGTAGTATAATATATAGTCCACTGCAATATAAGTTCTAAGATATATACTTAACGTTTTCCCGTTCAGGATATATTTTTAAGTTCTCTAATTAAGGTTTAATAAAATGATTAATTTCACGCTGTTCATTCCTTTTTAAAATAATATGTTACTTAAAAAGAGTTATTAGTTTTTGGCCATTCTTTCGATTGGCATCATAAAAGTAGGGGTGTTATTTTTTTACATTTAAGTCGGTTCGATTCCCAGACGAGGCAAGTAATTTTTTGAAATTCTTTAAATGCAGAATTACTAACTTTTAAAAATAACATAAAGCCTTCTTTCAGTAAAATACTCTATCTACGATATTTAAGGTACTTTCCCTTCATGTCCCATAACTTTGAGACACCCTGTATATTATCGCAATTTTATCTGCATTAATCCGGTTGTGCAAAATAGAACGCAAGAACAGAGTGTCTTCCCTTTAATAGAGACTGTAAGTAGTGTTATTGGACTTAAATTGCTTACTGGTCTTAAGTTAGGTTAGATCGTGATGACTTAGTAAATACAAATATGTATTAAATAAATAATAGGTTGCTCGATAGACGAAAAATATGGCACAGAGCTCCCCACGTTTTTTCACAATAATACCAGTATTATTTGTTCATTACCATTTTCAGCCTAAATTAGGAATTATTTTTCACTTTTTAGTTTGATGTGCTTTAAAAGCGTGTTTTTTAGTTTTTTTAAACTATTATTAATTTTTTATTTTTTAGTTATTTTTTTCATTTTTTTTTCGGATTATTGCATTGTTATCGATCTTTGACAGGTGCGCAAAGTTTGAATTAAATCTGTCCATTAAAAGTGGGTCAAAATCGAGTCCGAAGGAGTCGGTTACATACATACATACATACAGGTGAAGCTAATATAAAGCGCGTAAAAACACCGGTTGCAGTGTGATTGGCCTTTGTCGATGGAAAATGCGAAAATATTTTATAATACTGAGTATTTTTGAAACTAGCTCGTTCAACCAAACAAACAATACTACCAAAATTAACGAATAACATCCGTTCTATATTCATTAATATTTTTGCTTCTGACAAAATTTATAGTGCCTTATTGCATCAGAAATAAAAGATATACAGTATTCATTTACATATTTAATTAAGTATTTCTAAATAATTTTTCCATCAGCTAAGTCTATACTGCCAATTAACGATTCCTTTCTTCCACATTCAGCCATTTCCAGAACATCTTTTTGACTCTCCATATTAATCTCTCTTTTCATGTCCTTTTTGTTTCGGGCATAAAACCACCTGAAAAAATAATAATATAAGCATTTAAAAGAGTCTAAACAGCCTTTTCGACAATTGGAACATAGCGCATTAGACAAAGACTGCAAAATAAAAACCTTCTCAAAATAATTCTAGTGTAAATATTATCACTAGATTGTTTTTGACGCATCGACAATTTTGTATGGAAAAAAACATCTTTAGCCCGCTCTGTATACATCTTAGCTTACATACGCAACATTTAAAAACATGAAGAATACTCCTAGGAGGCTCATCGTCTTAACTACTACAATGCTTAAAGTCATGTCTCATCAGTCTTTTAACCGACGTAAAAAACCAAAAGAGACTATCAATTCGACGTGTTATTTTCCTGTGTTGACAACACCGTGCAAGGTGTCAAATGGTTCGGCAGCAGTCCCATACCGGATTTTACAGTCACTCTGATAGTTTGCGATTAGTTATTAAGTCGTAATTATTTCATTGGTTTATTAACTTATATCGATAAGATTAGCCTAATACGATCTTCATATTTCGTATATAAATAAATAAATTATCGTTTAATACATTTACACAGACAAGACCTATTAGAGGTAATAAATATTGTTATTTTGCACTTAAAAGTGCAAAGTTGGTTCTATTTTTTAAGGAGTTTTTAAATAATTTTCATAGTTTAGGTCCTTTATCATTTAATAGACATTTAACGGATATAAACGAGAATGATTATCCCCTTGCCGCCCATGATTACCGAAAAGCACTCGAAATGTTTAGTCTAATGTCTCGTAAACGTAACATATTCCAATAATAAAAATGGTGATTTCTAATAGTAATACGCACACAAATATTGCTATGGCAGGTACAGTTAGCACAGTACTAAAATAGTACACAATGCTAGCGTCGAGTTTCACAGTCATAGTGTAAATCATTGAATACATAGGTCCAAATAGCATCGAGGTGACTACCTCTGATAGATTGAAAATAGAAGTCATTTTTCCTGAAAATTAAAATTGTTATCGTTATTTTGTATCTGTATAAGTTTTACCTTTTTTGTTACCTAATTATTTTTACCGTAACCATTATTCAACACTTAAAAAGTCTATGTTTATTTTATACCAAAAAAACCAGTGGTGCTACAACCGGTTTAGGTCTGGGCCTCAGTATCTGTGTTTTGATCATTTGTCAATATAATAGGCAAGTAGTTGATCACCCTCCTGTGCTTACACACGCCGTCGACGTTTTTGGTCCAAATATTTGTGGCTCTATACCCGTGAATAAATTTTAAATTGCGTAAAACCGTAGACATTATCAGATATATTTTTATTCATGGTAGCCTCACTGCACGGCAGCCTATGCTCCAGAGCCGAGAAGAAACGGATCGACTCTCTTTTCCATATGAAAAGCCATTTTTTTAATAAAATGAGTCAAACGGTCAAGAAAGTGAGGTTCACTTGATGTTAACCGATACCGTCACCCGTGGACACTTACTGCCAGAAGGCTCGCAAGTTCGTTGCCCGCCTTTTAAATATATCAATCTTTCATCTATAATTATGTAGACGCTGTGATGAAAAGAGACAAGTACGTTTTATCGGTAAAAGTGTTTCACTGTCATTTTCAAACAGTATACTCGTACATTTATAATAAAACAATGCATTAAGTAGTTCTAACGTGTGATATAGATTTTAGTACTTACCTAACTCATCACTATTCACTAGTTTCGACGAAATGGATCTCAATGCTGTGAATGAGGTTGCATTAAATGTTTCAACTGCGACAGCTATAAATTAAAGATTTATTGAATTACCTAAATAGTTTAACAATCTGTCATCTGCCATTATTGTCATCTATCATCATTAATGCTTTATACATCTTAATGACAGTTAGTAGACTTATTTTTAAAGTATCTCTTGTATAAATACAATTGTTAACACTTATTACTTATGATTCTTTTTTTAAATAATAGCCTAATTAAATTCAGTTGTAAGGATTTATTTCAAAAGTCGGATAATTTCCCGCGTAAACTAACGAAGCACGTGACGTCTTTATGAATGTCATATGATGGGAAATGTCAGATTTCATCGATATTTATTGTTTATTAAATTGAACGCGCAGGAACTATTGGTGACTGGTAAAAAAAACTGTTCTAAAATTTATCGAGTTTGTAATTATTAATATTGAAAAAAATTAAAAGGCATTTTACGTCATTTGATTTCAATATATAGATGTTATAGTAAAAAAATCACGTGTTTCTAGTATTGTAAGTTATTTTAAAAGTATAGTGGCTCTATAAACAACTTATTCTAGTATTGATATTAACACAAATGAAAAATTCCGTCATATCGTGGTCACAGATAATTATCTATTTTTTTGTTTTATTTTTTTTCCGTATGTCAAACGATTCGTTTTGGTAACTTGGGAAAGTTAGGGTCAGACTATGATCAGAGCGTGACTCCGAATGTCAAACCTGATTCGTTTTTGACATTCTGAAGTCGTACTTAGCTTTAAGTGAGATTTGAATCTTAACCTTAGTTTAACAGCGTAACATAACGGACTAAGAGTTGTAGACAAATACAAATATTTTTATTACCAAGATACATCTCCATTGTATTTCTCGCTTGACTTGTCGCTATACCACCTATTAATTTACTAACACATGAAATAATACCGAGAGTCGCATCACTCCACTTCCATCTCCGGCTGAAAAGGCTTACGGACACAAAGGCACCTGAAATAATATGTTAACGTTTAAACTGCCAAGTAGGATATATAAATCATTTTTTTTCAGTTTATTTTTATTTTTTAGAAGCTTTAAAGAAGGAGGCTTTAAGAATACGCTCTTTTCTTGAAGGAGCTGCGTTTGTTACTTTGATAGCCATTGAAGCAATTATTTTATCACCTCCGGGCTACACACTGTGTGTAGACTAAGTTTAAAAAACCGATTATATTAAACCATGTAAAAATTTGCTAATGTTTGGTGGTTTGAAACGTATTTTTTAAATGTATGTTAATAAGAATAAATACTATTTAAGTTCACATCACTCATTTTCTAGTTTTATCTTTATTTAGGACTAGCGACCCGCCCTGGCTTCACACGGGTGCAATGCTGATACTAAATTCAAAGTGCTATAGGGAGAACCGAAAATATTCATTTAAATTATATGTTGTAAAGGGCCATATAGATCTATTTTATATCAAAAATGTATTTAAGGTATTTAATTGGATAAGGATTAATGCTGTATTGGTTAAAATCGCTTCGAAAATTAGCCATTATTTGTCGAAAAAGTAAATGACAAAAAAAAGTTATTGTGGGATATCCATAAGAGGTAGACATATACCATCGCGGAGTTTTCTGTAGACCTTTTCAATGTGTACAATACTTAGTACATTATTTTGATAAATCTCGTAGTAATCTCGTCATTGAAATCGCAGCTGAACCCAGCTGCGTTTTCAATGTAAGCGGAAAAAATGTAATTATTTACGACATCACATTAGAAACCTCCAAAATAACAGTATTTCTCCACTATTTAATGGATGCTATTATACATATAAACCTTTCTCTTCAATAACTCTATCTATTAAAAAACCGCATCAAAATCCGTTGCGTAGTTTTAAAGATTTAAGCATACATAGGGAAAGAGAAAGCGACTTTGTTTTATACTATGTAGTGATTACCTGTCTTAATAGTTTATTATTAATATTATTATTTATTTCTTGTAAAAGTGTAAATATATATACAAATTAAATTTAATCCAAGTTGTGGATAAGACTGACGGCAATTATATTATGTTGTAAGCATTAAAAGTTATTAATTACTCTCCCTAGATTTAATTAAACTCACCAAATGTATGAAGGCAAATGTAGAATGTATTGTAGAAACTGTATTTAATTGCATCCCAGTTAAATCGGTAGCGAGTGAACAAATATTTCACCGTAAACTCTCCTGTGAAACACATTATAATATTTGAATATATTTATTCTATTAATTACTATACTAAAATTATTTGTTACCTTGACCTATTGACATTAACGATCTGTCTGTATCTTATTTTAACCACCTTTTATTTTTAAATAATTAACAAACAAAAATGACGTGAAAATATTAATAAGTCTTAACGTCGACTAGTATATAATATCCTTGAATTAGTTGGATAATGCATCTTATAACTCAGAGGTTTTAAAACCCGCCGAAACAATACCGTACTTCAATTACCTGATACGGCACAGACCATAGACATGTTATTTGCATCGATTAGATAAGTGACATTTACAATTTACATACCATATTGCGGCCCATAAACAAAGGCAATAGATGCCAGAATTAATATCGATTTAGTTCTTCTACGATTTGTTCCTTTTTTGAAAACCACCTTTAGTGTATCTTTTACGTGATTCAAATCGAAAAACGATTTAAGAAATTCACATATACCAGTTTCCTCCTGCAAATATATAATTTTTTTTAATGAAGAATTAAGAACGGTATAAGAAATAAAAAATTATATTACATTAGATTTTTCCGTTTTAGATCGTTCCGGATCCTTCATATAAAAGAATCCATGACACAGACTGAACACGTAAAGCAGTGAACTGAATGAGAATACTCCATAATATCCAAAGTGTTTCAATAATAAACCACTTAATGCATGGCCAATAGGAGACCCAGCTGTGAGACATAAATTCGCTACACCAACTCTAAAAGTTCTCGTTTCTTCGCTAGATATTTCACTGATATAGCTAAATGCACCCATATAAGTCGCAATCCATCCTCCGGTTATCGCTGGGAAGAAAGCTTCAAAAAACATCGTTACTTGAACTGGTAATTCGTAGAAGTAGTACGTGTTCACTATATTACTTAAGCACATGAGTAAATCTCCTACTATTGGCATTAGAACACATATTTTCCTCTTCCCCGTTCTATCACTCCATGCGCCCAAGAACAATATTAAGAAACTCGGTATGGCTGTTAAAAGTATGTTCTTCCAAACTTCCATAGAAGACACCAATCTTTGTACTTCAAGCTCTTCTGTTTGATATGACCCTTCTCGTGCAATGAGTGCATTGCAAACATCATCGCCAAAATTTAGATTGACTCGACATGCCTTGTCTAGATTTAGATTCTGTGTTGCAAGGCGTGATAGCGATCCAGGGATGACATAAGTTATCAACACTGGTTCTAAAGTAATATTTTCACGTATATCAGCTATTCTTTCTCTCAAAGTTTTCTTTTTTATATCTTTAGTTTTTAACGGTGCTTCTTCAGAAGCCATCTTGATTGAGGCTAGAATAGTACTAGTGATAACTTGATTGTGCGAACTATTTCGGTATAGGGTAAATATTTGCAACAGAAGCCAGGTACGTCTGATGCGTTATCGTTAAATAAATAATTAACTGCATAATGTTATATAAAACTGATTTTTATCACATCTAATTGATAAAGTCACGCCACACGAAATTTTGTAATATTCTAACAGGTTATATGAAAAGGAAAGATATGTGTTTTTGAATATTCTTTATATTAAATAATACAATGTAATACAGAGGCTTTCCGAAATATTTCAAAAACCGTCCGGTCGAATAGAAGCCCTAATTAAGTTTTTATAGGTAAATAAAAGAAAATCATTTCATCAATTATTTATTAAATAGATTTCGTCAAAAAAACGCTAGTTTGAGCAACATAATATTATTTACAATACTATTTTTACAACCAAACACCTACGAATAGAAAAATTAAATTTCAAAACCGTATTGTCTACGTAATAGTAAAGTAAATAACTTTAGTATTTCATACCAACTTATATCTAACTTAAACCTCTGCTATGTCGCATGGCTTTACTTACTTTACTTTTTTACGACTTAGTGATTGACTTTAAAACATTCTCTTATTCATATAAATAAGGGACTTGAAACCAAATCACTTTTCGATCACACTGAACGAATTTGTATGAAAATAGACACGTGACAGCGTTGGTGGGACAAGCCTGTCGAAAAGTGGTTTTGTCTTAAGTGCCAGACTACTTACACCATTTTAACAAAAGTACTTATTTGTCTCTTTCCATCGAAATCTGAATACAATTTAACAGAATAAGACAAAGCATTTTAGTTTAAAAAGTGCCGTTAGAGTGATTTGTTATAACAAATAAGGTACAAAACAACGAAAGCGAGAGGTTTAACAAGAAATATTTTAAGACTTAACAGGATAATTTAATACAAAGTAAACACTGAAAATTTATTGAATACATATTACATTTAATTTGTATCAGTTTGAAAAAGTTCTATTAACATAACAATATAATACAAAAAAACGGGTAAATTTAAATAAATTACACCTTTATTGATAAACGTACTATGTAAGCCTCTATTAGTGAAATAATCACTTGTGTACTTTGCTATTACGGAGTACACAATATATATATTTGAAGCTTATAGTAGTTAGTTATATTTGAATTCGTTGGTCTATACAATGATTTTACATATTTAGTATCGTTAATTTAAGCAAAATTAGTATTAACTACCCATATTATAACTACTCGTTTTATTTACAACCAATCCCACTATTAACTACCTAGTTTACATTTTTTCATAATTACTTTATAACTAAGAACAGAAATAAACGATAAAATTAGGGGGTACCCTTGAATTATATTACTAAATATTTGGTTATTTGAGTGATTTTGAGATTTTTATAACAATAACCACTACTTTTCAATTTACATTAAAAAAATCTTTAGGAATTCACTATCTAGCGGCGATATGGATATAACCCGACCCTATCCAAAAGTCGAGATGACTGTGGGGTTTAGTGGGTACAGTTAACATAGCTCATGCAGCTGCGGAGTGTTGGCCTAGTGGCTTCAGCGTGCGACTGTCATACCTGAGGTCGTAGGTTCGATCCCCGGATGTGCACCAATAGACTTTCTTTCAATGTGCGCATATAACATTTGCTCGAACGGTGAAGGAAAACATCGTGAGGAAACCGACATGTACTAGACCCAAAAAGTCGACGGCGTGTGTCAGGCACTGGAGGCTGATCACTGACTTGTTTATTAGATTTAAAAATGATAATGAAACAAATTCAGAAATCTTAGGCCAAGACGTAAAGACTAAACAGGTTGTAGCACCACTGATTTTTTTTTCATGCAGCTGCAGAGCGAGCAATGGAATTCCTTCTATTGCTTAGTTTTGCGTTTATTGCGTTGATGCAGACAGGTGACGCGGCTTGTTCATATTATCATGTAATATATCATACATGTAAGGATTTTAGTACAAATCTTAATATAGCATGTACCTTGGAATGAGTTTAATCGGAAATTACGACGCCTTTAAGTTGGTAAATTCCTAATAAATGTGGTAACATTTATTCGTTTTTTTTTCACTTCAACTGCTTTGCAATAGTTGAGACTAGCGCTAAATATGACACTCATATATTTAAGACGTATATAGTATATACGGGAGTCAAACTTAGCTCTGGTATAATTAAATATTAAAAAAAAATAAAACAGAATTAGAATTCCACACACTAATAAATACCGAGCGTTACTGTAGTTTTCCATAGGAATATCTATTGCTAGAATACCTGTCAACTATTTGTATTGATGAGACATCTGGGTGTACCAGAAATATACATTTACATTGACAAAGTACAGTCAATAAGTTGTAGATTCTCTAAAGCTTTATAAGTCTAATGTTATGGAGTTTCTAGCAAATTCTTTTTCATATGAACCTACCTTTTCGAAAGGGGCAACTACGGTTTGTTTTTTCATATTTTTAAATTGTAATTTTGACTTTCGAAAATGCCATAAATGACTTTAACTTTGACTTTTATTTTCGAGGTGTATATTTTGGGTTATCGCATTGATAAAAAAGTATAATCGGGTCATGTTGGTTTTAAAAACAAATTAAGTATAATTTCTTAAAGAATTGTCTTTTATTGACATAACCTTTACACATTTAAAGAAAAAAACTTTTTAACCGGATTAAAGTTATGTATTATTATCAATTTACAATTACTTAACATAATTTTAAATTTAACCGACGTTTCGCGGGCTTTACAGCGTGCGTGGTCACGATGATTGAAGACAAAAGGTGTTGGATGTCAAAAAAGTATCACAGCTGTAGAAAACGTTGCATTATCTGTATTTATTTCCTCGGAGTTGGTATCGACTAAAAGATGGAGGGTTTTGGCAGAAATGACTCACGGTGTCCTCTATTCTCAGCGATTGTTTATCTTGAGATTTTAATTTTATCCCAGGTATTATTGGATCCCAGGTGTTTGACAATTTTAGGCCGTCTTCTCTATTGAAAATTATGTCAAATAATTGTAAATTTATAATAAAACATAACTTTAATCCGGTTAAAAAGTTTTTTTCTTTTCTTAAAGAATTTTTAAGAGACTTTATATATTATTTTACTAAATTGTATTAAATACCTCACTACATTAATAAACAACCCAACTACTTATAATATTTATTATGATTTATCTTATATACAAGACTATTTACATGCAGAAATAACTTTGTGTAAATATCCAAGAAATTATAATGAAACTCATGTTTTTTATAACTGTTAACTTAAAATAATTAATCAATGTTATGTTTTCGTAGTCAAAGCTTAACTTAGGTAAAGATAACACACAGTGCGAAGTTATACTTCCAACTGTCAAATACTTGTAAGATTTTGACAGATGGAAGATATCCACATTAAGAAAATATCTATAGATTCATTGGTATTATTACAGCTACAGACTTAGTATAAACTTAGTTACGAAAGTTAATGCCCAATTAGATCAGTACTAAGGGGTTCAGTGAAAGATCTTACTGTCTAATCTGTTAAACTTAAATCTTTACAAACTTAAGTAATGAGTCTGTGTACGACTGCCTTCGAACCTAGTTTTATGTAATTCGTTGCTCAAGTGTCTAAAATTTAAAAAATGAACTCAATCTTAAAGTCAAACTAAAGTCAGACAAAGAAAAAATTAAATTATAAACTGAAATCTGTAGAATAAGTTTCTTTTGCTTGTTAAAACTGTGGAATATAAAATTATAATTTAAATTGTTGACGTTGTATTTAGCATAGGTTATTTTGTTTTTAAAAACTGACTGTTGGTTATTTGTTTACGAATTAGACATTAATTTTGCGCAGTATACTCGTACCTGTTCAGCAGAAACAACAAAAGTAAAATGAATTAATAGTTCGCTATTCGCTTGTAAAACACAATTAATCACCAATTTGTTCATTGTCCTATTATATTCCCGCGCGTATCTTCTCGTAAGAGCAATGTTGCGACTCTAATCACTGAGGTCGTAGGTTCGATCCTCGGCTTTGGACTTTGGACTTTCTTTCTATATGCGCATTTAATTTGCTGGTGAAGGAAAATATCGTGAGGAAACCGACATGTCTTTGACCCAAAGAGTCGACGGCGTGTGTCAGTCACTGGAGGCTGATCACCTACTTGCCTATTCGATTTAAAAATGATCATGAATCAGATTCAGAAATCTGAGGCCAAGACCTAAAAGGGGTTGTAGCGTCATTGATTTTTTTTTTAAACTTTAACACGACTCTCATTTTATTTCATGCGGTTCTAAATTCACCGGGTCAGTTAGTATGTAAAAACAAGTCCTCTGTAGCGTTTAGCTGTCTATCTGTTCACAGTAAACGTATGTAATGTTTTCTTTCTTGAGGATGGATTAAATATATCATTTTTCAAGGTTAACGGGTCACTGTTGCCTTTGCGAAGCTGGGGTGGTTTGATAGTACAGGCATCCTCGACTTACGTCGTTTCAAGTTACGTCGAACAATGTCTTGACACTATACCTCAAGCATACGTCATTTGTTTCGATTTCCGGCATAGGAGAATTCACTTGTCTTGTGCAAATTTGGACAATGCCATGAAAATTTTTGAAGAAAATGATCCTAATTTTGAGAGGTTTCAACGTTAATAAAAAAAATTGTGCAGTGTTACCAAAATCTGTATGATATCAAGTAGAAATAAGCGAAGCAATCTAAAATTGATAGTTTCTTTAAGCCAAAAGTTTAATTTCATTACATATTTTGATTACATATTAAAGTTTTATAATTAAATTTAATAACACACAAATACCAAAAATAACTAGCAATTTCATAAGTGCATATATAATTATTTTAAGAACTTACTTTTGATAATAAAGTATGTATATCCTTTGTTATAAATGCAGTATTTTTTTTTAATTTCGAGTCCGTGTGGATTGAGATTTACATGTAAACAGACAAAAAAATATGTCTCGACTTACGT